TTTTTTTTTTTTTTTTTTGCAATTTTAGTCTAACAAGTATCGCTTTATATAGCACCAATACAATTAAACTTGCAATTGTCGTAAAAAAGCAATGCTACAAGAGAATTAATGCATTTATAAACATCACTTTTAACAGAAAAATTTCGTTTTTTGTTTCTCATAATCTTTTATTCATTTCTGTGATTGTGTAAAGCAAATATTTTTAATCGGCAACATAGATTATGAGAATATTTGTTATGCTGAAACAACTAACTTTATTAAGGTTACGCTAAGAACGGCGGTATACTAGTAACTTTGAAATTATTGTCTACCTCCAAAGGGGGAACAGCTTTAAGCAAAATATTTGCTAGCAGCCAAGTGCTGACTAAATTTATTTTCATCAACAACAACAATCAATGCCTTTTTGACTTGATGTCATTCGCTATTCTCTCCCTGCATATTTATATATACATATATTTATTTATGTTTTTTGTCATATCTGCTTTTTTTTGTTCGCAGCAAAAACAAATTTTTTTTTCGCGTTACCTGATCTCATTTAATTGAATTATATCGTGTAAAACAAGTAAATTAATGCTCAAATTATGATCTGCTGTAGTTTTTTATTATTCTTTTTGTAAAGTCAGTTTAATTTTTCCTGTATCTTGTTTTACAACCACTTTACTGTTGATTAAACGGTATAGTAAAGACCGCTTTTATAAATATATATATTTTTTGTCACTGTGACGAGAATCAATACGTTCATTCCAGCAGGTATGTGTCATACCATTCAAAGTAAAAATTGAATTATTATAGCAGTTCTTTCTACACTGAATTGGATTTTTTCTTTATCTTTTAAATTTGACGCATATGGTTATAACATTTAAGTTCCATGCAGTACTGTCGGTGCTGTATCAAAAAAAAAAAAAAAGTTGGCAGTGCGCAGTTTCTCTAGAAAGCTATTAGAACTATGCCCATTCTTTCGTTCCAACATTTTCTAGATAATGTTGTCCGTTAAGCGCCCCTACAGTAAAGAGTATTTTTCCAGCTGTATAGCTGCAAGCGTCTTCTTCCCTTCTCATTATTTTCTCTAAAAAAGCTACGAGGATCACCTAATCATAAGGTTAATGCAAAAAATGCCCAACTATGTTGTTAACAGCGTGATATCAGCACTTTTTAGCTCAAAAAAAGTGGTGAAATTTTAAACGTTATTTCTAGTAATTCCGATATGCAATGCCTGAAAGACTCAGCAAGGTCGATTGTGAACGCTTGACTTCAAGCAACGAGAACGTTTTTCTGCCTTTTTTTGCTCTGAGCCCCGGTCAAAATATTTCTCATTGCTATATTGCTTTCTGCCGGACATCCTGCAGACATTTCCTGTTATCGTGTTGTAAGTCTTTATGACCATTAAAATTCGCGCTTTTTTCAGATACTCGCGAATAATACTGTTGACACTGCAAAGAATTTCCGTAGCATTGGGTGGAATGAAAAAAAAAAAGTTGGTCTAAAACTTTAAAATTAATAAAGTTTTTTAGAGTGAGTAGTTTGTTCAAAAAATGTGTTGCAGGCTCAAAAATTCTTCTTACTTAGGACTTCTTTTTTTTCCATCGGTGACATCGAAAATAAAAATATCCACATGATGGTAATAGCAGCATTTTTTTAAGTAGCATTTCCCCGTACCACAATTGAGCTGCAGATATTGGTTTGGTGGGTACGTGGGAAAAAGTTCTAAGAATATGCACCGCGAAATTCATTTTTAAAAGACATTATGAATAACTTATCAGCCATTATGAATTAAAACCAAATGAGCGACAAACTCAGCACTTCCGGTTGCCAATTCGGACTGGTCAATGCTGTTTAGCGCGTTGCTTTGACCATGTACTTCTAGACAACTTCTTCAGATTGCCTAATGTAGCACAGGATAACTTTGGTTTATTTACGCTTAACTTAAGCCACCCTCGCCCACTTCTGAACCAACTAACTGATAAATTCTGCTGTCATCTTCTCCAAAAATATTACGAACTCAAGGGATTATAACTCAGCTGTTTGAAGGAAGGAAACTATTTTCTAACTTCATGCGCAGCACGCATGCAGTGCTACAGTTTTCACCGAAATCGGAGATGAGCTCAGGATAATATGTAATACTACCTCAGCCTTTTCATGCTCACTTTATTCATTCCCTGTTCCTCTTACCTCCTTTCACCCTTTCATAGCCTGCATTACCTCGTTTTGCACTTCCTTCCATCTGGTCCTCAATTGGTTCCTTATGACTAGCTTCGTGCCGCTCTGTTACTTGTTGAATTTTGACATACTTGCTGCTTCATCGTTCCTTTACCTCTCCTTTCAGCCTCTCGTTGCCCTTCCTTTCCCCAACTTTTCTTTTCCGTTCACACTTCTTTTTTATGCTGCTGTCGGGTTCCCTGTCCCTGTTTTTTATGGCTTTCCTTCCTCTTGTCGTAATTTCTTCTCAAGCTTTCCCTTTCACTGCTTCTTTGTGCATTTCCATGCTTCTTCACCCTTCTATCTGTTTCTCCTTTCCCTACTTATTGTTTCGACCCCTTCGTACTTCACTTCTAGTCTCCTATGGATTTCTCCCTTTCTTACCCTTTTGTCTTCTGAACTCGCTGCTTTTGTATCCTATGCCTTCGAATTTTAGCGACTTTCGGTGCATCATTCTGTTCTATCTTGTATCCTATGCATTTCATCTTTTGGATGCTTTCTCCCTCTACTGTTTGCAGTTTTTTGCTTTTTTCCTCGCTTCACTATCTGCTGCCAATTCTTTCCCTCCTCTTCTTTAATACAAGACACAACTTTTCATACCATTGTTCTACGCCTTCTCCTCTTACGTTCTTCATTCTGGTGCTTCAGTACCCACCTGTGCCGCGCTACGCTGTCGGTAGTGCGAAGCTCTACTTCTTAAGTGAAAAACAGAGCTAGTCTTACAACCGCCGCCTCCTTCACCGCATGTCTCAGACCAAAATAAGGCTTGTTTCCAGAAGAGCAAAGAACGAAACAAGAAAGGTGAAACAGTCAGGACGGGATGGAAAGAGCGAGGACTCAGAAGAGCATCCGTCGTTAAGGTAACATTATAAGCTCCTTGACGGAGAGCAGGATAGAAATTCACAGTAAACACGGCTAAAACGAGCGACTGTAAACCGAAACACAAGAAGCTGCCAGAGCTACTGCAAAGAAACAAAAAGGAGAGGGGGCGATATCAGAGTAAAAGGAATTAAACCGAGCAAAACAAACTGCGAAAGTCAAACAACGACAGGGGAGAGGATAAAGCAAAAGAGCTGGTGGAACAGTAGGCGAGGCACGACACACAGGAGAAATAAAAGTTATATTTAAAGAAGACAAGACGGATTAATCAAAATAAAACGCGAAGAGATGGAAAAGAAGCGTAACTTGATGTGTATGACTGTGAAGTAAAAGAGGACTGATCCTCACGTTGCGTCACTGAAGGCAAGTGCCTGCTCTAGGATCTCTGCTCATCTTAAAACCACTTCAACTTCCAATAATAGATTTTTAGGCTGACCCTTTCATCGTCCTCTGAACGTAACGCCAAATTTCCACTTCATAAAATTTCTACCTTTATCCAAGCATCGTTCACCGGTTCAAAGAGTAGAGGAGAGAACAAAGCCGTCCTGCCAAAAAAACTAGGTCCATCGAGTATCTAAAGACTTAGTCCGCAATTCATCAGTCGACTTAGTGCGGCGGATTTGGCTTTCACTGTCACTGAGCCGTCTCTGACCAAACAGTTCTACAGGTTTGCTCCAAAACAGCATTTCAATTACCGTGCGCCTGCTATGTTTATCAAATCCCAATTGTTACAGGCGGAAGGCATGAACAGGAGAATAAGGGTGCTTGAAGCAAAAGGCAGTTGAAGACCAGGTAACACAAAGAATGGCTGAAAGATCGACAAGGAAGGCTGGAAAATCGCTGAAAACAATAAGTTTAAAGAAGAAAAGCGAAGATAAAACAAAAAGTTCTGTGGACTGATCTCTATCACCACCACTCCACGTGTCATTCCGCTTCTAAAAGATTAATATTAGTTGCTACAGAGCATCCACCTCTAAAATGCGTACCATCCCTCCGGTTACATAGAAGGAAAGCAGAAATGAGAAAAGAAAATGCGGGTAAAAATTCAAAATAAAGACATCAAGAAGATGAGGATGAAGAGGATAGTAGGAGATGAAAAACTGATAGAGACGCAGAAGAACTAAAACCTAATTTTTGTTTAGAAATGGAGAGGATAGAGTATCTACGAGATATTTGAGGGATGGAACTTGGGAAAGGTGAAGATATGGTAACAGGACGCAGGAGTACGGATAAGAAACTGGAAGGTGAGGTCGCCACCATAGGGATCAGGTGTTGAGGCTAGAAGTACAATAAAAAAAGAATGACAGTTAAGAAAAATCAAAAACTAATCTCCATCTGTTTTCACACCCAGGTTTCAATGAACCAATAGAAAGCTACGGTGACAAACGTACAGAAACCACTTAGAAGAGAGCAAAACAACGGCGCAAGGAATTAGAATCTATATGCTTTCTTTGGAAGATGAAGTCAAGTGGTAAATGCCGAATGATATTCAAAAACTTAATTGGTATCTTTCTGGCATCATAAGACCCTAGACCTATTACCGTTCTTCAAGGTAACACGCACCTAGTGTGGAGCTCCTTCATCGTCTTAAAAATCCCAATTAAAATTTCAAAACAAATATTTTATCTTGCAACGTTTACGGTACAATATTTGTTCAGACTCACGCAGCCAAAGAATAAAGCGTTTGTGGTCAAAAATTTCCAAGCTTTATTCTTCTACA